AGCGCTCGACCACGCGCTCCATGCGGCCGCCCACCATGTCCGGACACTTTCTGCTCGCGCCCATCCCCGAGTCCTCCTCCGACTACCTCCTGCCCAAGGACATCAAATTGGCCGTGCTGGGCGCCGGCCGCGTGGGCAAGAGCGGTGAGTGCCCCGGGGACGAGTGGGGGCTCGGGGAAGAGCCTGGCTCTCGGCGGAGGGGAGGGCTGGGCGCCAGAGGGGACCAGGATGTTTCCTCGCTGGTGCGGGCCTCCCTTCGCCCGCCTGGCTTCCCGCTGCTTCTCCTTGGCCTTAGCCGAGGGGGCACCTGTTGGAGAACGGGGGCTGGTCCCGCGGGGAGAGCACCCACAGTCTCACCCGCCACGGCCGCACCCTTGGCTTTGCAGAGCCTGAGGATGCGGGCAGTATCCGGGGTCCAGCGGTCGGTCACGCCCTCATTTCCCCGAGACCGTCCCAGTCTGACCGTCTCCTTCTGGTCCTTCAGCTGATTTTCCTATTTCCTTTTCAGCAATGATTGTACGCTTCCTGACCAAGAGATTTATTGGCGATTATGAACCGAATACAGGTTAGATTTATTTCGTGCTGTTGGAGCTGAATGCTCTGATTTTCTTTTTCCTGATGAGAGTGTGAGAATTAAAAAACCAAGCTCTCCTTCATTCTCCAGGCAAGTTGTACTCGCGGCTTGTCTACGTGGAGGGAGACCAGCTCTCCTTGCAGATCCAGGACACCCCCGGGGGCATCCAGGTAAGGACTGCCAGGAGCAAACGGTGCACCTGCTTCCAGACGTCTAAGCACGCTGTCATGATTTAGATGGAGGAGTGGGCTGTCCCCAGGTGGGGCCAGTCCTTGGGTGTTAGAAATTCTTCACGATGGGGGCGGGGAGCGTGGATGGTTAGAGGCAGCCTCCTACTGTCGACACCTCGGAAACAGGGAGAGACGCTTAGTGTCTCTTTGCAGCCCTGGTCAGGGCATCATTGGTTAGATGGGTCTCTTCACTGCGATTGCAGCTCAGCCTTGGAACCCTTAACAAATCTATCGGGGTGCGATTCTGGAGAGGGTCTCCTCCCCTAGCAAGGACTGCTGAAGTGCTCCTATTTCTAGCTGTTCCCTCCACAGTAATTGCAATCAGATTAACCCCTTAGCAAGCAGTGGGGAATGTAACTTGATTAACAAGTTACTAATTGCTCTCCCTTCTTGGGGCAAAAGGTCTTGTGGTAGCACAGAAGGAAAGAATTTGTTTCTGTAACATTCTCAAGAAAGGCAAGCTAAAAATATTTTTATGGGTTTGGGAAGAAATATTTATCTTGGCTAATTTTCAAAGTTTTGTTTATCCCGAGTTAGTTCCCAAAAAATTGCGCCATCCTGATTTCGGAAGTTCTCACTGAAGTCATTCCTCAGTCAGTCCACCACCGATCATCACAGACCACCTGCCAAGCAAGGGGTTTAAAAATAATCCACTGGTAACAGCTAATAAAATAACCCAGGCAAGGAGCTCGCCTGAGAATCTGATCTTTCCATATCAAAAGCCTCCTTGTGCAGAAGCTGGGTGGAATCTGAAGACTATATTTAGAGGTTTCTTTTTCGAACGTTTTTTCCAGGGTTGCTTTGATGGTCTTTCCAGTCTCTTCTACTGAGGGCTTCCTTGATCCAGGCTCATTTCACTCTTTTCAGGTCCAAGACAGCCTCACCCAGGCTGTTGACTCCCTGTCCAAGTGCGTGCAGTGGGCCGAGGGCTTCCTGCTGGTCTATTCTATCACAGACTATGACAGCTACCTGTCCATCCGCCCCCTGTACCAGCACATCCGCAAGATCCACCCCGACTCTAAGGCCCCGGTCATCATCGTGGGCAACAAGGGGGACCTCCTGCATGCCCGGCAGGTGCAGACATGTGATGGCGTTCGGCTGGCCAACGAGCTGGGCAGTCTGTTCCTGGAAATTTCCACCAGTGAAAACTATGAGGACGTCTGTGATGTGTTTCAGCATCTTTGCAAAGAAGTGAGCAAGTTGCACAACCTCTGCGGGGACAGGAGAAGAGCCTCCATCATCCCCCGGCCACGCTCTCCCAACATGCAGGACCTGAAAAGGCGCTTCAAGCAAGTTCTGTCTTCCAAGACCAAAGCCCCCTCTGCCCTGGGATAGACCCATCTCCCATGGACTCAGCTCCTTTATATCATGCATTTGTGCAGCTGAAAAGACTAGGGGTCGCCCTTTTTAATCACACATTCAGAGTTTATTTTTATACAGACTGTTGATTTTCAAGTGTATGTGTATTTCTGAAAATTCAAACAGTGATTGCCTAGAAGTTGGATAGTTTTTAGTTTTTTTAATAAAAAAAATTTTTTTACTGTAACTGCTAGCCACTTTTCCATTAAAGGCAAATGGCAACATTGCTCCTTGTTTTTAAATGTCTTTTTATAGAATTCATACTTGCATCAGAGCCCAGAAATGCTCCAAGCTTGAACTCTGATTGGTGGTTTGGCAAAGAGGGGCTGAGACAGTGGGAATCTGTCGTGGAAGAAAGGAAAGTCTGTAGAGAAGGAAAGGGACTTGAATAACTGCAGGATGTCTTTAATTTGGGCACTTTGCCCCAGGTGTGAAATTGACACCATGTGATTTCAAGGGAAGGGGTTCACTGTGCACAGATGCCAAAAAATTACAACATGAATAACATTATTATTTCTTGATGCAAATGGAAGTTTATCCTCCCCATGTCTATTTAAAAAAAAAAAGCGTCTTCTAGTATTCTTATTGTAAGTGCACCCTACCGGGACTTGCCTGAAAATTCTCCTTCCCTCTTTGTCTCCCTGACCCTCACCAATGGGGTACCTAATCTATCAATTCTCTCTTGTATTTTTCTCTAAATCATCACTTGGCCTTAATCCAAGCCTTTACAGCTCTTCCTGGGGCTGGCAGGCAATAGTGTGGATGAGACTCTGGTTTCTTGGCTCTGGCGGGGCACTCCCCTGATTCTTTCTTCATACCAGAACAACCTTACCAAAACCAACACTGACCATTTTATTTCCATGATTGAAAACATTCAGCTGGATTTCCCCTTATCTACTGGATAAAATATAAATGAGGCAGGGAGTCAAGATTTTTCGCCACCTCTCCAGCCTCATCATCCTCTCCTTCCAAAACACATGCGTGCTGTGCGTGCACACACGCACACGCACATGCAGACTCACACACAGCTGACTGTCCATTCCAACAGAATGTTCAGCATTTCTCACTACTCGTCAGGTACTTTGATGCCTCCCTGCCTTGGGGCAAACTACTTCCTGTGCTTTGAATATTTTGGTCTATTCTCCACCTACAGGATCCTTCAAGTCCCAAGTCACATGCTACACTCAGCTCCTGGGGCGCCTTCCCAGGGCGCCTCCATTCCTGTAGCACGTGTCATAACCCCACCTCTTCAGGGTGCAATATTTCGCCTCCATTGGATGGAGCGCTGCTTGAGGGCAGTAAGTACATTTTATGACTTTGTTTTCCAAGCCTTTAGCACAGTGCTTGCACAGAGACTGGTAGGTTTTTGGTAAATATTAGATGAATAAATGAGTGAATACATTGTTTTGGGTGCCAAGGGTCAATAATGCCAGATTACAGTGAAGCAACTTGTCACTTCTGCAGAATGAGGACAGGTGTTCTGAGTAGTTGAAGGCTCTGGATTTGCAGAGACAGAGAGGAAATGACACATGTGCAGCCTCTGGCCACTGCAGACCGTTGTCCTCACCTATGTCCAGACCTGTGATGTTAACACTCTTCTCTGTCATTGGGGGTGTCTGCTTATGTAAAATGCTGTGAGAAACTAGGAACGCTAGGTAATTCACATCTAATGGAGTGTTCAGATAGGGAAAATAATGTTTTGAATTCTGTTTTCTTCTAAAAAGTGTCTAATTCTCCTTGTTCTTTGCAAACCCTCTGCAAGAAAGGGGTTCTTTCTGTCATCAGCCATTCCTGCTTCCTTCCACTCGTCTTAACATCGCGGCATGGATTCAAGAACAAGTCACACTCCCGACAGTCCACGGCGTGCCTATTGGATGGGTGCCGGGGCCTCTTCTGCCTTCAAGTAGCTGAGATCAAAACCCCACAGGAAGAAGGTAAATCATAAAGTAAAAGCTGGAGAACGATACAGGAGTTGTCCCAGCGCGTTCTGCGATCAAGTCCACGTGAGCAAGCTTGAGGACAGAAAGTGCCCTTCAGCTCTCCAGGGCCCAGCACAGTGTGGACCAGAGGGACAAAAAGATGAGCCACGGGGCAGTTCCAGAGGGAGTAACCACCTCGGGGGCTCAGGCAGGCGGGATGGCCAAGTGGAAGGCGCTCCTGTCCTCAGCATCGCAAATAACTGGCCTCCAGGGATGCATAGCTTCCTTTATCCTCTGGTCCCCAGAACCGGCCTCGCACAGGTCCTGGGCTCCTGGTCTTGGAGAGAGTTCAGGGTCTCTTTCCCAGCCCTCCTGATGGCAGCGGGGTCTCTCGAGGTTCTGGTGCTTGGAGAACATCTAGAAGCTTCCTGAGCCAGTAGCCCTGGAGATGGCAGAGGGAACAGGGTGTTGTCTGGAGGAGGTTGGCTGGAGGTGGGGGGCATTATCATATTTCTGTGTAGGGACGTGGATCTGAGGATTTGGGCTTGACTGGGTGCCAAGGAAGCCTTAGAGAGGAAGCTGGGATCTGAGCCAGGATCCTCTTCCCTCGGAAATGGGAAGGGCAGAGCTGTGGGAGCCTGGATGTCATTATATTGCTGAAGGGGGCGGAACTCCTGAAACACTATGCAGAGCATGGAAAACTCAGGTGGCTGTGGACAGGACAGTCTATGCATTTTTCCCTGGTAGCTTTGCCTTATCTCCGAGATGTCATCATCAACAGGGGTGGTCACCTCCATCCTTACCTGGGAGGAGGAGCTATAGCACCCCTGGTCCATCTTCACCCTCTCCCCCACTCTCGCTCTGTCTTAAAATCCCTGCGTCTTTCTTTCCACCACCCATCCTTCTTATGGTCAAGACTCAGCTTTAACTCTGCCCTTAAACTGCAGAATGACTTAATTAATGTGTCTATCAGTGAGGTTCTGGAGAAGTGGACCATTTCCAAATGGCTCAGTTATACATGCTGCAAACATTCCATACTCCACATGTGACTTGTGAAGAGCAAACTCAAATGATGGAAAAATAAATCAATTATAACAGAAGAAAACAAATATGTTTTGCTCGCGTTGAGGTGAAGGGCACAACGGAAGTTCTAAAGTTCATTAAGATCCATCTGGAGAAATGGATTAAAATAAATAGCTGTGGAAGGCAGAAGTGAAGAAAACAGCAAATAGGAAAGACTAGATGACACTTCAGTCATGGGTGTGGGGCTCAAATAGCTTTTTTACCCTCGTATGTGTTGCAATTTCACTTCTCATTGTGCAAAGTTACCAACTCAAATTAACAGTGTGAAAACACTTTGTGTGATTAGTAATTTACTCTTACCATTTGATCTGTCTCCAAAAGGTGGAATATTTTGAAAGACTTTGTTAAAATTCATCTCAGGCTACTTTGACGCTCAATGAGAAAGATACGGTATAGAGGGAAACACAACAATTATTTTCCAAACACCATCAAGTTAGCCAGGACTCAAGGAGAGTTAATGATGGAAGTCATGATTAGGTGGTGACAGCAGACAGTTCCAGCACAGAGTAGAAATTTGTGGATCCCAGACGGAATGTAGTCGTCCCTCATGTTTGGCTGCCCCTGGATACCTCTGGCCCAGGAGAAAGTCAGCTTTGTTAGAGCAGGGCAGGTCTTCACCCAGGCCAGCTCCGCAGCACCGGTGAGGGTGTCCTGTGCATGACAGGACCCTCAGAGGATATTCTGGCCTCCCTCTGCCAAGCGGTCAGGGGTGGCTCCTTCCCTCTTCCTGAATGCGAAAGAGAACGTTATCCAGAGCAGGGCAACCTGAACTACACAGGTATTGTAGCCTTCGATTTCCCTCATCTCTTTATGAAGACCATCGTGACCGCGTGGTTTCAAACCGCCCTGACGGAGAGCCTGCCTTCAGGCAAAGCCCTGTGCTGACTGATGGGTGTTGTGTGGGAAGGGCATTCCGTCTGTGGGAACTCAGTCCCCTGGGGGTTCCAGGGACCCAGCCTTGAGGGTGGGACTCTGGGGGGTGAAAGGTGAAGTAAGATGCTGTGCCAAATGCGAGGGTGTTGACAAAATTAGCGAAGAGTGCAGATCACTGAGCTGAGCGGAGCGGAGGCAAGCACCCTCAGGAGTGAGCAAGAAAATGACATTGCTTCCTTTGCAAACTGTAAAGCATTATTTCCTTTGAGCATTGTTTTATGTTCAGTTGAGGGCTAACGAGTTCAAGTTGTAGAACACTGCCATTTCTCATTGGCATTCTCTCATTAAATTAGAAGAACATTGTTAACTGCAAGACTTTCTTATATAAACAGACTTTGCCTGGAAACACTAACATGGATTTATAACTCTGGAAAAATTGGGAAGATGCAGGCTCCCCTGCCAACGAACAGTTCCTAATCAGCTTTACGGAGGCAGCACAGGCGGGTTCCAGAGTGAGTTCAGGTTCAAATCCTGCTTTATCCCTGATGACATGTGACCTTTAGCAAAGTGAAATGTAAGTTTCCTTAACTTAGAATGGAGGTAATACTACCCATCAGGCAGAATTGTTTGCAAAGCCTGACACATATAAGGTTCTCACCTGTATCTGTCTTATTATATTTTGAGGGGGGTGGTAATTAGGCATACTTATTTATTTTTAGCAGACGTGCTGGGGCTTGAACCCAGGACCTCGTGCATGCTGAGCGTGCACTCTGCCACTTGATCTAAAAGTTCCCTCACTCGTTATTTTTTTTTTTTGAAGGTCCCTTGTTACATTATGAAGCTGTTCTAGTGAAAAGAGTGCTTCTTGAGCTGGCTTGTATGCTCTAAAAGATAGAGTAGCTGTTTTGAAAGATGTGATTCCCCCCCATTTCACATATGAGAAAAGGAGGTTTGCAGGGGAGCCTTCAGTAACAATACCTAGCAATGATCGATCCTTTACCACGTGCTGGGCGCCTTAATTGTCTCCATGATCCTTTGGGTAGAATTGATATCACATCAGTCAGATGAGGAGACTGAGGCTCAGAGAGGAGCCAGGGACCTGGGAGGCCTGCTCCACGGAAGGAAGCCTCCCCTCCCTTCAGGGCTGCTTCCCTGGCCAGGCCCTTGGGGTTGCCAGCACCTAGGGCCGGACTCCCAGGGATTCTGTTGCTACATACTTGAGTCCTGGGAGAGGAATTTGCACTTTTACGAGCCTCCAGAGAGGCACTGAGGCCGGCTGTCTCCTTTCTGGAGTCACCCCAGG